GATCAAATTATTTTCTAAATTTATTATTCACATTAGAACACATTCATATTCTCAAAAAAGTATTATAGTGAACAGACTACTTTTGATGGCAAATATGAAAGCTTTGATGTTCCAGTCACTATACATCATTGAAGAATATTGAACTTCTCCCTTAATGTCTCATCAGCGGGACTGAATACATGTAGGAAATCACTTCTATTAGATGAGAATAACCAATCATGAGTTTAATGCAACTAGTCATACAATGAGTGAGAATTCAAGGACTTGGACCTAGGTTTTCGTAATCAGGAGCCTTGACTTGGATGTTTATTGAGGCTTTTAAAATGCTACCTGAGATCTCTGCTGATAATGCTCTGTGATTCAGAGTCATTTCCATGAAAACTGAAGCTTTCAGCAAAACTCCTCCCTTCTCTTCTTTTCATTATCCTGTTAGAGAATATGGTGCATGTCTCCTTCCAAAACTTCATTCAATGAAATAATTTCCTCTTTGATTACCTTTGTGTAAGATCTTTATTGGAATAGTTTTAGCTATACTTATTATGAATATATTAATAGAATGTAAAAGAAGAAGAAGATGTTCAGAAACAACCATAGGAAGTATTTAAAATGAGAAGAAGAAGAAAAATCTGTTTGGGTAATTTAGGCTCTCTGAAGAAAACCCTGGGATTATTTTTGATCCCCCTCTTGCTCTTACTCTATTTTCAGTCCACCGGGAAATCCTATTTTCTCTAGCTTCAAAATACATCTAGAATCCCACAGCTACTCACTACCTCCACTGCTAATACCCTTGTCTGAGTTAAATCATCTTCTGCCTTGAATAATAGATGTGAAACTGGTCTTTCTGCTTCTCCTTTGATCCCTCTTTCCAGGCTACTCTCAAACTAACAGCCATAGTTGTCCTTTTAAACTAAGCAATGGTTCCCCATTTTGTTCAGGATAAAAGACAAAATCTTTACAATGTTCTACCAGGCCCAAGAGGAACACTGAGGGTATAGTGGTTAAAGCATTTGGCTGGTGACCAGAAAGGTTGGCAGTTAGAACACACCAGCCAATCCATGGAAGAAAGGTGAGACAGTCTGCTTCTGTAAAGACTTATAGCCTTGGAAACCCAATGGTCAGTTCTAAGCTGTCCTAAAGGGTCACTATGAGTCAGAATCGACTTGATGGCAATGGGTTTGGTTTCTGGTTTTTGTTGTTGTTGTTGTTGTTGTTTCCAGGCCCTGTATGATCAGGCCTCTGACTTTATCTCCTAGCCTCCCTTTCTCTTCCCATCCAACCAAAATAACCTCCTTGAAGATTTTACAACAGCCAGGCATATTCCAGGGAGCTCTGGTAGCACAGTGGCTAAGGCACTTGACTGCTAACCAGAAGGCTGGTGGTTCAAATCTACCAGCCACTCTTCGGAAGGAAGGTGGGGCAATCTACTTCCATAGTGATACTGCCTAGGAAACCCAAGGAGGGGTCACTATGAGTCCAAATCGACAGCATATACCAATAACAACAACAGGCATGTTCCACCTCTTCCTCAGGATTTTGTCCTCATCCCATCAAGTTCTTGTACAAATATTACAATTTCAATGAGACCCACACTGATCAATCTATTTAAAAATTGCCAGCTGTTCCTCCACCCACCCTACCCAAACACTAGTAAACCCTTAAAAGGCTCCATTTTCCCCATAGCAGTTTATCTCCTTCAGATAATTACTTTTTTTTTTTTGAACAATGATTATTGCCTATCATCTGTCTCCTCAAGAGACATATCATATACCCCAATTAGTATGTGAGCTCCATAAGGACACAAATCGTTACTATTTCACTACAGTTTTGTGAATATCAAGCTGTGCCTGGCACATAGAAAGTTTCACAAAAATAATTACCGAATGAATGAAGGATCTTCAAGTTAATGGAAGTTAATATAAGGGAGAAGTTGACTGGGTTTTCTCCACTAGAGAGAAAACAAGAATTGAAGAGAATGTATAAAAAATAAAATAACAAAAGAAGGAAACAGTCTTGTAAGAGCAAAAAGAAAATAAAACTATTAAAATAAGCTACCTGGTGTTAGCTCCTTTTGACTGTTTGGATTACTTTTTTTGGTGAAATAATATGGCTTCATTGGTTAGAAACTAGTTGGAAATAAAACAAGGAGTACTTAAGAGTACTATATTTTCAGCTAAAGAATACTTGAAAATAATTTGTTCCAATAAACTAAATAAAGAGTTCAAATGTATTGAAATGTATTTAAAATAATATTTCCTACAGCAAAAAAAGATAATTTAAAAAAAAAAAAAAACTTCTTTTGCTTTAGGGAAGTCTCTAACGAAGACTCCGAAAATAAACACAAATATTCTACATGCAAATCAAAAACTCTACAAACTCACTGCCGTTGAGTCTGTTCTGACTCATAGTGACAGCTTCTTGGTTTTCCGAGGTGGTATCTCCATGGAAGTAGATTGTCCAGTCTTCCTTTCAAGGAGTGGCTAGTGGGTTTGAACTGCCAGCCTTTTGGTTAGCAGTCAAATGCCTTAGGCACTATGCCACCAGAGCTCCTCTATGCAAATAGTCTAGCTATTTTCAAAGAACAGAAGCAAAAATAGTTTCATTGCAAGGGCCAATTTGTAGGTTATAAAAGGAGAAATTATATATAAACTATCACCAGTCCTTTCATGAATAGGCTTCATATGACAGAAAGATAAATTAAGACTATCAATTATCAAAACGCCATTGTGCACTTAAGTTTTATACGTAAGCAAATGAATTTTTTTTTTAAAAAATGAATTTTTATAATCATATATGGCTATTTTTTCAATGATATCAATGTGGAAATTCAGATTTAGGAAAGTATAGAATTATAAACAGGCAATCTGAATAATTCTACTAAACCAGTAAGATTTCCTCTATAATAAAAGACAGAGGCTCTCAGGGCTCAATGGTTAAGGTATTCAGCTGTTAACCAAAAGTTTCATGGTTTGAATCCACCAGCTGCTCTGCAGGAGAAAGATGAGGTATAAAAACATAAGCTCTATTGTTTTAACATTTATTTGAAGAGATATTTCTCTATATAGAGAAATAATGCAAGGACTATTTCAAACATATTTTTCACAATCTTTTATTTTAAATATTTAAAGCTAGAGGATAGGTGATATAATAACCATATTTCCTTCAATTATATTAAAAAATTATTAATATTTTGCCATAGTTTTCATTATCTCTTTCTATACATACACATGTATGTATTTTCCATATAGATTTTTTCACCATATTTTGAGCCTTAATATATTCCCCCCCAAAAAAAATTCCCCAAAGTAACAATCTCCTCTTCTCTCATATACCAAATACCTACCTACCCATTCACAAATACCTGTGTCTATGTACTAATGTCACAAACAACTAAGACATTTCTTTGCAGTCAAAGAGCTTGTGGTCTATTGGGTGAAGGAAAACACATAAAGAAGTGAGATAAAACTTAACACGGTAACAGGTTCTATGATAGATTCATGTATTGAAAACATCCGGAGATGTGAGGTGTAATTAATAGGTCAATTCAACCCAGGGGAAATAGGGAGGAGAATTTCAGGAAAGAGACTAAGGAAGCCCAATATAATGTCAACTGATTGGCTTTGCATATTCAGCTTAGCAATGCACATCTTCTAATGAAACAAGTGAGACTGATAATATTATTTGTCACTCTCTGTCATTTTGCTGGCTTTTGATGGCCCTTCCACCTCACTGCTGGATATACTAATGTTGCCTGCATATAACTTCAATACTTTTCTGTTTTCTGAGTCATAGTAAGTCAAGGAAAGACAGGAAATGCAGTAAGAAATTTGACAGCACTGCTCCAAATTAAATTCCAGATCAGTGATTCTCAAAGTTGGCTGCACACTGAAATCACATTTCTTGTTGCTGTTGTCAGTTGCCCATGAGTCAATTCGGACACATGGAGACCCCATGTATGCAGAGTAAAAGTGCTCCATAGGGTTTTTCAAGGTTGTGACCTTTCAGGAGAAGATCATCAGGCCTATGTTCCAAGCCACCTCTGAATGAGTTTGAACTGAAAAGCTTTCAGCTAGTAATCAAGCACTTGACTCTTTATATCACCAAGGGACCACAGAACCACCTCAGGAGCTTTAAAAATACTAATATTAGTTTATACTCCCAGAGATGATGATTTAATGGGTCCAATGTGAGACTCCCAAAGAAATTGTAATAAGAAGCAAAGACCAATCATCAATGATGTGCTCGATGATTCTCAATCTTTAAAATGAATACAAATTATATGAGGATCTTATTGAAAAGGAAGCTTCTAGCTCTGGGGTGGGGCCCATGATTCTACATTTCTAACAAGAATGCTGGTGATAGCTGAACTGCTGGTCTGAGGACCCAACTATAAGTATTAAGATTCTATATCATGGTATCAATCACAACTGCTGTTTTCCAAGTTGTAACATAGTCAATCAGACCTAGGGCCTAGCTAATGAGCCCATTATGCCTGTATGACCACCAAATTGCAAATCCTTCCTCCTCTACAACTTACCTACTCTAGTGGTACTTGCAGTGTGCTGTTTGGACCAGTACCATCAGTGTTGTTGTTAGTTGCAGTGGAGTTGATTTAGACTCATGGCAACCCATTTATGTCAGACAAGAAATGTACTCCATAAGGTTTTCAATGGCTGTGACTTTTTGGAAGCAGATCAAGGCCTATCTTCTTAGTGCTTTGAGGTGGATCCAAACCATCATCCTTCTGGATAGTAGTAGAATGCTTAACCACTCCCGCCATGCAGGGACTCCACAGAATCAGTATCAACTGGAAACTAATTAGAAACCAGATTATCAGGTTTTCCCCCAGCCTTAATAAATCAGAACCTCTGGGAGTAGGGTCCAGCACTTTCTTTTAACAAGCACTCCAGGGAATGCTGATGAGTGATCAAATTTGAAAACCACTGATGTTGTTGGCATATTTGGGGATCTTCCTTGATCCCCATTTCATACTTCTGATCAACTGCTTTAAATCAGTGGTTCTGTCTGATTGCACATGAGAAGCACTCGTGAAGCCTTTGTAAGGCATCTATGCCACTTCCTTATCTACTAACTGAGAATCTCTACCTTTGTCAGTTATGGGTATAGTATCTTAAAAGCTACCCAGGTGATTCTAACATATAATTATGATTGAGGATTTTTGTTTTGAGTAGTCCCCCTCGTGGTCTCTTGAATATGGACTCTTTACCTTTCACCAATCTCACTATTCATGAACGAAAGTCCCAGAGAATCAGCTACCTCCCTCATGCAATATTGTTGGCTGCCTTCTGAATTCCCCTCTGTGGTGCTTGCAGTGACTATTACAGGATATGAATCAGGAATGCTCAGAAACCTTTCTGCCTTGCTAGCTTGATGTAAGATTGGTATTCCAAATCTAGTGCAGTTTTTACATAAAGTCCTCTTGGCTGATTTTATGAGGGCAACATTCCATTGATTTCACTGTGTATCTTCCATGAAGACTTTCCTGCAGTAGTGACACTTCTTCCTAATGTATCCATTGAGCCATCTTCTTCCATCTGTCATTACACTACATAGCTTCATCTCCCTTAATTATTTAAAAACTGTAAACAATTTGAGCAAAGCTAAATGTCTTATTTATGTTTACTTGGCTAAAACACCATATCTAGAACATAAATCCAAAACTATACCCACTCCCATCAAGTCAGTTCTGACTCATAGCAAGCTGTTTAAGACAAAATAAAATTGTCCCATAGGGTTTCCAAGGCTGTAAACCTTTTTGGAACCAGATATTGCCACATCTTTCTGCTGCAGAGCTGCTGGTGTGTTTGAACCACTAACCTTTTGGTTAGAAGCCAAATGCATTGTACCAAAAAGAATTAGTCAATGTTCACGTATGAACAATTAGTCAATGTTCATACATGAACATTGACTAATTCTATGCCATCAGACTACTATGCCATCAGAGCACCTTATCTAGAACAAAAATGGACATTTAAAAGGAAAAAAAAAGCTTGTGAAATTGAGGATTAATATTAATATTCCAGTACTGACAGTCTGCACAATCTTCATCAAATTGTTTCCCTTCAGACTCTATATCTTGATCTCCTCACTGACTTAAGTTGTCGTCTACCAATGTTTCTCCACCACAATTCCCTTGGTTCCAGAGTGTGAGCTCAATTTTGGTCCAATCTCCTTTTCTGAGTTCTCCTTGCAGACTCAAAATATCTTTCATGCTTCTTGTCACGTGGTTTACTTAGAAATAAATTCCCATGTTAAGAGACTAATTCTATAGGTCTGTCTATATTCTGCCCACCACTCATCTGTCAGTTTGTCATACTGTGGTGGCTTGAATGTTGCTGTGAGGTTGAAGGCTATGTCACCAATATTTCAAATGCTAGCAAGGTCACCCATGGTGGTCAGGTTTCAGCACAACTTCCAGGAAAAGACAGATATGGAAGATGGAAGGGGCCATCCATTGCTCAAAGTATTGTCCAATATGAATAACAGTGAAACTCTGTCTGATATATTACTGGAAAACATTATGAATAGTAATGAAACATTGTCTGATATAGTGCTGGAAGATGAGCCCCCCCAGGAGAAGAACTGCCTCTTCAGAATAGAGTCAACCTTAATGACATAGTTGGAGTAAAGTTTTGGGGACTTTCAATTGATGATGTGGCATGACTCAAAATGGGAGGAAATAGCTGCAAACATACATTAATAATCAGAACATGGAAAGCATGAAGTATGAACCTAGGAAAATTGGAAGCTGTCAAAAATGAAATGGAGCACATAAAGATCGATATTCTAGGCATTAGTGAAGTGAAATGGACTGGTTTTATCCATTTTGAATCAGACAACCATATGATCTACTATGCCAGGAATGACAAATTAAAGAGGAATAGTGAGTCGGGGCCGACTCGACAGCACATAACAACAACAACAACAAAGTGTGGCATTCATTGTCACAAGGAATGTTTCAAGATCTATCCTGAAGTACAGTGCTGTCAGTGATAGAATAATACCCATACATCTACAAGGAAGACCAGGAGCTCTGGTGGCATAGTGCCTACGGCATTTAACTGCTAACCAGAAGGCTGGCAGTTCAAACCCATGAGCCACTCCTCAGAAGGAAGGTTGGGAAATCTACTTCCATAATGATACTGCCTTGGAAACTCAAGGAGGGGTCACTACGAGTTGGATCCGACACCACAGCACTGCATTGTGTTTTTGTTAAAGAAGATCAGTTAATACTACTGTTATTCAAATTTACACACAAATCATCAAAGCCAAAGACAAGGAAATTGATGATTTTTACTAACTTCCACAGTCTGAAATTAACCAAACATGCAATCAATATGTATTGATTGTTACTGGTGATTGAAATGGGAAAGTTGGAAACATAGATGAATCATGAGTAGCTGCAAAATATGGCCTTGGTGGTAGAAATGATGCCAGAGATTACATGATAGAATTTTGCAAGACCAACCACTTATTCATTGCAAAGACCTTTTTTTCAAGAAATGTAAAGAGTGCTATAAAAGTGGACCTCACCAGATGGAATATACAGGAATCAGATCCACTATATCTGTACCAAGACATGGAGAAGCTCAATATCTTCAGCCAAAACAAGGTCAGAAGCTGACTGCGGAATAGACCATCAATTGCTCATATGCAAGTTCAAGCTCAATGTGAAGACAATTAAAACAAGTCCATGAGACCCAAATATGATTTTGGTTGTATCCTACCTGAAGTTAAAGGCCATCTGGAGAATAGATTAGAGTCACTGAACACCAAAGACAAAAAACCACAGAAATTGTGGGATGACATCAAGGACATCATACATGAAGAAATTAAAAGGTCATTAAAAAGACAGGAAAGGAAGAAAAGACCAAAATGGATGTCAGAAGAAACTCTGTAACTTGCTGTTGAATGGAGAATAACTATAGCAAATGGAAGAAACGACAAGATAAAAGAGCTGAAGAAAAGATTTCAAAGAGCAGCTCCAGAAGACAAAGTCAATTATGATAACAAAATGTGCAAAGACCTGGAGTTAGAAAACCAAAAGGGAAGAACTCCGTAAGAATTTCTCAAGCTGAAACAACTGAAGAAAAAATTCAAGCCTTGAATTGCAATCTCGAAAGATTCTTTGGGCAAAATTTTGAATGATGCAGGAGACATCAAAAGAAGAAGGAAGGAATACACAGTCATTGTACCAAAAAGAATTAGTCAATGTTCATCTATTTCAGAAGGTGGCATATGATCAAGAACCAATGGTACTGAAGGAA